AGCGATTCTGGCTATCGTCGTCTCAACGGAGATGAAGACGACGAAGTCAAAGGCTATGGTATCCGCGGGGCTAACCTGCTGAGGCGTGGCCACACGCAAGCGGGGAAACCCGTCGTGCACCTGGTGGACGCATACTGCAAGTCTCATCGACTGCAAGTGCGTTCGAGCTACTCTGCGGAAACACTGGCAGCAGCCCACAACTTGGAAGACTGCTACCCGACCATTGTAACGCTCCACGAGCTACACTCGGGACCATTGACCCCCACACAGTTGAAGAACATATTGGAAATGGGTGGTCTATGTATCAAAGTCACTCTGACTATTGATGCCGAGTCTGTCTTCAAATCTTTGTCTAGCAAGGATCTGAAGAAGCCCACAGAGTGTACTCTGCTTGGGCACATCAGCTGGATTCGCCAGATGATGGAACGTGGAATCGTGGAAAGCGTCCAATGGTGTGACACGCGGGATATGACTGCCGATGGTCATACCAAAGGTAGTATTGACCGCGCGTTGCTCCTACAAGTAATGGCCGGCCAGCAATCCTTCAAGCACGAGCTGAAGAAACATACGCCGTATAGGGCGGGCAGGTCGTCTCAGGACGGCCCTGCCTCCCGAGCCAGCGGGGAAACCCGCGGGCAGGTGCGCTTTAGCAGCGAGGAAACTCGCCGGTAGCGAGGCTACTCGCGCGCCCTTTCCTTGTAGGCAGCCGCTGCTGCTTAGCACTGTTTTTTCCGCATAATAGAAGTGCGGTACCTGCTCGTCTCCTCCCCCTCCGACTTTAAACGGAGAAGGTTAAAGGCGAGGTATAAATCGAGCATGTACCGCTGCCGTGCCTGGCTCAAGCCGGGCCCGGCCTGATATGTGACTGTGCCTCACTGAGGCGCACTACTTGCATCTGAGATCGGAAAACATCCTTTCCATTGACGATGCCCATCTTACTCTTTACGCCAGATCCCATGCTTCGTCTCGCTCTCTTGCTCATGCGCTATGAGCCTAAGCCTGGGATATGGAAGCGCCTAAGGCGGACTGTATACCTAAGCTTACCAGCTTGTTTTCGACTGAGGGGAGCCAGTCAGTGAGTAGGCCCCGAAGCCCTAGACACTGGCCAGAATCACCAGCCAAAGTCTGCCGCAGCCGGTGTTTCTTCGGGGTACGGCCCTTCCGCTCAGTGGAACTGGGTCGGGCGCTCGCCCGCGACATTCAGCGGGTCAAGCGCTTCTGGCGGAGACGCTACGAGAAGTTGGTGGAGTCGCTGGGGGGGCCCGACAGGGGCGTCGTCGGGTACACATCAAGACAAGATCCAGGTCCCACAGGCCCAGGCCCGCCGACGGCCGACGACCGTCGGCGGCGCGCGGTGGGGGGACGTGCGCGAGGGGGCAGGCCCTCTCGGGATCTCTCAGAATGCCTGCGGCCTTCCCGAGAAGCCGTCTCTCCCCCTGCGGAGGGGGCTCAGGAAAACTTTGTTCGGAAGGCCGGCGGCCCTCCGAGCCTTCTGAGAAGGCCCGATCCCTTTGGACTTCTCCTGCTCAGCTCGCCGCCGAGATCCCTGGTCGAATATCCCCAGCGATCCGACGCTCTTGTTGGCAGTCTTCGGCCGTTTCTGGCAGTTTATCGGCCTCCGGGGGCCTTCGCAGGGCCTCGGGAGCGTCAAATAACGACTCGTGGCGAGAAGCCGGCCCTTGGGAGGTGGTCTGGTCCTCCGGGGCCCACGCATTGAAAAAATTGGAACAGCCCGATGTCTGGGTCCTGAGCCGACATATGCATTCAGTGGAGGCCCATGCCAAGGAGCACCCTGCTTGCCTCCAGGGTGCCTTCTCGGGTTTCGATGGCTTTGCTGTGGAGGTCGTGACGTTCCCACACCAGCAAAAGTCCATGGGCGTCCTGGGGTCTCAGGGTTGGGTTTCTTGTGGAAGGTCTCTTGTGATCGGACCCCTACAGTCGGGGCGCTGAAGAAGGAACCCTTTGCGTTGGGGAGGGGCTCTGTGTTCGTCTATTGTTTCGCAGTTTGCCTTGGGTTTTCATTTTGGTTTGCTATGGGAAATCGAAGCTTAACTTATGGAAGACAAGGGGCCTCGTTCCTTATTTAGGGTTCCTTTTCGCCCAGGTCTCTGTCTGCAGGCCTCCCCATCGGGACCTGCAGGCTCTTGGTGCATGCTTCCTGGTTGTTTAGCTCCTAGAAGCTGCACCACCTGGGCAGTCAGTCCACGGCAGCTCAGTGCTGTTCTTGGCACCGCGGTCGTGCCCACGGTTAAAAAAAATGTTTAGGGTTCCTTAAGTCAACGCCCCGACTGCACTCTATGCCCCCGCTGGCCCGCGTGGGACATTCTGGGCCAGCGCCGGGCCTCTCCCGCCTGGAGGCAGGGGCCGCGCTGGAGGCGCCGGCAGGGTGGACCTGGCGCCGACCCGAGACGTCCGCGCGGACCGCTGGGAGGAGGGGGAGGAGGAGGAGGAGGAGGAGGAGGAGGAGGAGGAGGAGGAGGAGGAGGAGGAGGAGGAGGAGGAGGAGGCGCGGGTGTCCACGGCACCTTCTTGCCTTTTTGCTGTGTCTCTTCCGCGGGCAGCGCCCCCTCCTCCGGCGCTGCCCCTGGGCGCGTGGAGCGCCGGGGATGGGGCGGTGCGAGGGGGGGGTCAGGCGACAAGTTCGGGGGGGGGGTAGGCTTAGTTCGGGCATGCCCTCCTGTAGGCGGACTCTGGATGAAAGTATTCAAAAAACAGATGCGAACATGTTAAAATAGTCAAAACATCGTCCCCAGACTATGTTTGGACCGTTTTTGAGTTTTCCTCCTGTATAGGGACGTGCTCGGCTTAAGAAGGGTAGGCTCAAGGCGGCATGCGTGAACCCCCAATCGGCCATTCATTGCCGATAGTGGCCCTGTAGGCCACCTCGCCCAGGAACCTGCGGATTCGCTATCGGGGGCCTAACGCCGATCTATCGGCGATGTATCGCCGATTCTAGCTCGATGATTCGCCTCCTCCCGAGCCTGTCCCCCCATATAGCGTTACCCTGAGCGCCGGTCCAGGGACTCCGCGTGGGGGCCTCCGAGGGTGTGCGCCTGTTCCGTTCCTTTTGTGGTTCCCCTTCTTTTGGCAATGCACCTCTTCCTTCCACCCTCTCTGAGGGATCCCCCAGGGTTGCTCAGGGATTCCCCTCGACAGAGCCAAGATCGACATGCGACGCCGCTTGATTCTCCCCTAGACAGTACTTGTACTTATTGTGTTCTTATTTGCGTCAGTAACTGGATGGGTATCGCGGCTGGTGTAGGAGGAGGAGGAGGAGGAGGAGGAGGAGGAGGAGGGGAGGAGGAGGAGGAGGGAGGAGGAGGAGGAGGAGGAGGAGAGGAGGAGGAGGAAGAGGAGGAGGAGGAGGAGGAGGAGGTGGACGAGGCCAAGTGTTTGGGCGCCCGTGGGCGCCTGGCGGGCGCTCCTCGCTTGGGGGTCCTGGCTGGTGCCCGCCTCGTGGGCGCCTCGTGGGCGCCCCGCGTCCGGGGGGGGGGGGATGCCGTGAGGCCCCTCCTTCTGCCCCCCCCACCCCCTTTTTGTTCATTCAAGCTGTGCGCGGCCCGCTTGGCTTCGACCGGAAGAGGTGCGCTCTCGACCCGCGAATCGAAAAAGTCTGGGGGGGGATGCCGTGATGCCGCCCCGTGCCCGCCCGTGGGCGCCTCGAGGGCGCCCCGATAGCAGGCGGGTTGCTGCCGGCTTCGGTGCTTGGCGGCCTCTGCCAAGGCCTGGCGTGGCGCGCTGGGCCGTTGTGCCGGACTTCTTCGTCACGACCGGGCTGCCGCGGGAGCCTGCGAACCGTGCGCCCTCTCGCGTTTGAGACTGGGTGTGTGTGTGGGGTCAGTGTGAAACAAAACATGGCTTGCGCCACGCAGCTCGCACCACGTAGATTACAACAGGCGGACTGCACATTGTGGCGTGCACCACATGGCTTGCACCACACAGCTTGCACCACGCGTGTTGCAGCACATAGCTTGCACCACGTAGCTTGCAAATCATAGTTTGCACTACATATCTTTCATCACAAAGCCTGCACCACACAGCTTGCACCGCATAGCTTGCACCACATAGTTTGCTCCACGCATATTGCGCCACGCCACGCATAGTGCACCCCGCATGTTGCACCGCGTAGCTTGCACCGCAGCCTGCGTCACATGGCTTGCGCAACGTTTCTTCCACCGCGTAGATTTCACAACATAATGCTCACATCGGCAGTGCGATAACGCACTGCTTTTTGTTTTGTTTTTCCGTCGTGTGGCTCCCCACAGGGCTGTACCTCTTTCCCGGGGATCGATTTTCGCCCGAGTTGTTTTTAGATGGCTTCGGGCCCGGTAAAAACCCCAGGAGGCCGAATATTCCCCAAACGCATGGCGTGTTTTTCACGATGCCACGCTGGCGTGAAGATCTTCAATATCTGAACGATCCGCTTGCCCGCAGTCCCCTCTCCACGGCTGTCCTTGTCTTACCGAGCGCGTTCCACTTCTCGCGAAGTACCTATTCGCAAACGTCGGAATATGGATCGCAAATCCTCTTCGGCGGATCCAGGCCATTTGCGAGTAGTTCCTTTGCGAGTAGTGGAATGCGCTTGTCTACTGTCTCCCCCTCCCCTCTGTGGACAGCTCGACATTTTTCCCTCGGCTCTCCCGCGCCGCACGCTTTCGCCGTCGCCGCGACAACAGCAATAGAACACGACGCGAGGATTCCAGGCGTCCGAGATGTGGTCGGAGGATCACGCCGCATCGCCGATGCTTCGGCGATGCGGCTCGATGCGCAACCCGATTTTCTCCGTGCCGACGGCGTCTCTGCATCGCCGACGTCGCCGGTGCATCGCCGACGCATCGGCGATGCCTCGGGGATGCGGCGCGATCCTCCGACCCCATCTGCTCGGACCCCAGTTGGGAGGCCTCGAAAGATGTCAGGGCCTCCTTTTCCCGATGCTGAGCATGACGGCGGTTCTCATCCCCGACCCCTCCCCGCGCTGGGCGAGAGAGCGCGCGCCCGAGGCGCCCCGGGTGCTCATCCCGGCCGGCTGCCGGCGCCACGCAGTTGGAGCTTCGGGGTGTCGTCGTCGTCGTCGTCGTCGTCGTCGTCGTCGCAGGAGGGTGGGAGGGGGGAGGGAGGGATGAAAGAGGAGGGATAGTAGAAGGAGAGGCAGGACGGGGATGGGGGAGGAGCAGGAATGGGCCAAGTTTGCCAGGTCGAACGAGCCTGCAGGTCCTGCCCAGCCCATCCTCGCTCCCGTTACATGAGAAGCTATTGTCGCACACATTGGTCTTGGGAATGGAAGGCGCGTTCCCGCCCAGCGAAAAGAAGGCGCTCGCGCGCGGCCCCGCTGCTGCCGACCTTGCGGGGCGGGCGAGAGCGGAGCTGCAGAAGAACCTCCAGCGGCGCTGCGGCGAAGCGAACTCCCTTGCGTCTTCTGGGGCGGCCACGTTCTCGACGAGCGTGGTGAAGACGCAAGGTGCGCCGCGTCGAGGCAGCACGGCCACTCCCACGCGCAGTCTGCGCGGCCTTCGCCCGCTCTCGCACGACTCCTTGCTGCCGTTGCCGTCTTCATGCGGTGCGAGCGTACGCTGCCGTTTCTAGTACATGTTCCGCGTGCGGACCATGTATTAAGAAATGCAGGGATTCGGTATCAAAAACAACGAGGAGTTCATGCACAAATGTACTCATAACTTACTCGTGTATTAAACATCCCATATGTTTTAAAATCCTATGCATTAAAAACTGCCCTGCAACGAGCGCCGTGCCAGCGCGGGAGCGCCACTCCCAGGCGGCGAAGTCCGCGCGGAGCGCTCGGGCGAGGGCGACCCAGTCGCCCGCTCGCGCGCGGCCCCTTGCCCCCAAACGGCGTGGCGAGGAGCAACAAATTGTGCGGCCGCGCGGAGGCGCGCGCGCCAGTCTCGGGCGAACTCTGCGCGGCGCCGAGGCGAGATTGGAGGCGAGACTGGTGGCGCCGAGGCGAGATTCGAGGCGAGGTTGGCGAGGAGGAGGAGGAGGAGGAGGAGGAGGAGGAGGAGGAGGAGGAGGAGGTTTCGTCAGTTCGCGCGTCGACGAGTTGGTGGTGACAGATGTGCGCTGCGCCCGGTCGGGAGCTCAGTTTTCACGATATACGCGCACGCGTGTGTGTATGCATATACATATATGCACATATGTCCAGCTCCCTGCGGCAGATCCCTCAACCACCATGCCAATCTAGCACTCTGGGTGGCGACTCTTCGAGGAGCGCACCGGAAACTGTGACGTCTGACGCCCGGTGCCCCGAAGTTTGGGAAAACAGGGAAATGCGACGCGCTCGCCCGCGTCGTGGCGCGGTGTCTCTCCTTGTGTTCGTCGTCGTCATCCTCCTTTCCTCTTATTCCCTTCTTCTCTCTTGGGGCCTTTTGATTCGAACGGTGCCTTTATAGCTACGGCTCTATTGTCCGCGATGGCCTGCGTGGCTTCTTCTCGCCAACGCCACGACTCGACGTCAATGGTAGCCCTACCTCCTCGTGTTCGCAATATTCAGCAACGTGGCTTCACCGTCGCCGTGCTCATCGTGTTCGTGCACGTCGTCTCTGTCGTCGGGAAATTCCCCGTTCCGCCTCCAGGGCAGGCAAAAGATATTGTGCACCACCCGTCCTATTTCGACTTGCGCAAAGACTACGATTTCGAATATTGCAAGGATACCTGCGCCCCGCCGCCTCTCTACGCTTTCCCCCCCCGGCTTGCTGAGACTATGTCTGGGCAGCTCTCATATCCGACGGCCATTCATCCGCCGATGGGAACCACCCCGAAGGCGGATACTGCCGGGTATAATGAACAGTTGATCGATGTTGTGTTCACATTCGCGGCGCCTGTCAAAGGTCCCGAGCTTCTCGCGACTATGTCACGATAGCCCTGGGCAGAGCAGCTGGAGAGGAGTGGGACCTCCGTGGAAGGTTTGGTGCATATATTGTCAGCACTCCAAGGGACAGCGAAACAGACCTGGGACTATTTGGTTTCGATCTTCAGGAAAAATGACCTATCGCCATGTGGTTGCTTGAGCAGCAATTTCATGTGTCCTTCCAGCGATGTGTGGGAGAGGTAGTGATTTGGCCAGTGGCGAGGTCAAACCTCAACGAGTTTCGCCAGGCAGCCTTCGCATTGTCACGAGTCACCAGCATGGCGAGTGAGTTCTTGGATGGGTGGCCGCCACCTGTGCTGATCCAAGGAGTCAATTTAAGCGGCAATCCCAACGCGCAGTTTTGCCGAACGATCGGCCAACTGGGCTAGGAGGTGCGCCCCTCAGCATCTTCAGCATTCCGTGCAACAGACTGCCGCAGGAGCGCATTGACAACCTCCTGACTTTGATCGACATCCTGCGCAATCGCGCGCAGCAGGCTGGTCAATGCATGATCGGCTACGAGGATATCAGCTACCTTCTCTGGTGCGCGGTCGGAGTGTCGAACATCCAGCAGACAATGATCTACGCAACACTGCGACATGGTGTCCCCGGCCAACGCAGCGCAGCTCACGCGCATGACGAGCCAGCTGCGACGGTTTGGGCACATGACCGAGGGATCACTCGGTAATCTCGCCCACTCGACCCAACGGCGGACCTTCCTCGCGGGTGCGCCCGCGCGAGTTCAGGCTCACAGTGCCTATGACACTAAGGCCAGATCGAGCTGGCGCGGCCTGGGTCAGGCTGCGTTGGGAGCGGCGCCCAGCCTACCTGCGCCGACACCACCAGTGCGGGAGGCATTCTCAGCAGCTGGCGTCGACTCAGGTACAGAAGCCGAGACCGTCAGCTCGCTCGGCGGAAAGATCGTTGCAGACGATCCCGACATGCGCGACGTTCCTGTCCGAAAATGTTATCCGAGAGATGTTCGCGGGATTCGGGAAGGGCAGAGGTCAGGGGAAAAGGCAAAAAGTTCAGGACCAGTGGCGATGGTTCAGGCCGTCAAGGCAACCCTATGGTGCTTGACGGGGTGCGTCTCAAGTGCCAGAGTGCGATTCGGAGGGGCACCTCGTGCTCGACTGCTCCCTGCGCCGCAGCCAAGGGCGCATGCTCAAACTCCAGCACCCGCGCCACCCAGCCCATCCGATCAGCGACTATTGTCAGGCGCGCGCGGTCTGGATGTCCAGGGGCACCTCCGGAACTCCACAGTCCATGGCTGCGGGCCCAAGTGAGGGTGCAAATTTGGTATACTTTACGGGGGGTCGTTGCTTGGGGGGCGCGAGTATCGAGAAATTCAGAAGAGATTATGGTTTCGGGGTCGCGGCTGAGGTGTAATTTGCAAAAGTTTACAGGGGCTATGGCTTCGGGGACGCGACTATCTCGTAACTTGCGGTGTATGTCATCGGGCACGCGAGTGCCGTTCAATTGGCGACGGTTCATTGCATCGGGGGCGCTACTGTAGTGTGTCTTTTACGTGTCCCAAGATAGCCCCATGAATCCTGACATCTCCGGGAGGGCATGGTGTAGGGCCCTTTTTGCCCCCTTTCGCGCGGACTTCAACAACGCGGGGAACTTGAGACTGGGACTGGAGCAGGGAGCAGCATTCCGAAATCACATAGCATGGTGGCCCCACAATGGGGCCGGCGTTTTTTTTTTTTTTTTTTCTCTCCTTCTTCTCTCTCTCTCTCTCTTTTTTTTTTTTTTTTTTTTTTTTTTTTTTTTCTCTCTCTCTCTCTCTATATATATAATATGGATGAGTGCCAGCTCCCCATCCCGGGGGTCCCGCCCACCTCAAAACCATCGGGCTCCGTTTTTTAATTCCCCCGCCCTGGCGTTTCCAAGTGGCCTCCAGACGGCCCAGGAGGCCTCCAGGAGGCCTCCTTGAAGGCCCCAGGAAACACCCAAGATGTCCATGAGGGCTTCGACGTTCAAGATAGGCCCTAGACGGCCCAAGAGGCTTCCAAGACGGCCCGAAGGGCCTCCAAGACGCTTTTTCAAGAGGGCCACCAGAGGCAACTCATTTTTCGCCCTTTCCCCGAATATTTTAGAGGATTTGTTGTGGTTCTCTCCTTTTCAGCTTCCCGACGCTGCACGGTAGGCGAAGAGGCTCCCGATATCGCCCAAAGACAGCCCAAGAGGCTTCCAAAACGGCCCCAAGACAGCCCGAGAGGACCCAAGCAGCCCAAGAGGCCTCCAAGACGGTCCAAGATAGCCCCAAGGCGGCTCTAAGAAAGGGCCCGGACAGGGAATCCGAACGGACCAAGACGCCGCCAGAAGCACGCGAAGGGCTCCCAAGATGAATGTCACAGGTGCACGACAAACAGATCCCACGGGCCATGCTGGTGCTTTCTCCCCATGGACTGATCACGCTGGAAACGCTGCAGGATTCCATGTTCCCTTGGTTCATCGTCAGGCCTCGAGCCTCCATTCGGATACGTTTTTTCGCCGTCTTCGGCCCCGGGTGGGCGCCGTGCCGTGCGTTGTGGAGGCTGTTTCCCGCCATCGCGGGCCCCGGCGCTTTTCAGAAATTGCACGAAAACATATACCAGGTGGAGGGGGGGAAGGAGGGGGAGGGGGAGGAGGGGGCGGAGAGGCAGGAGGAGGCGGAGGGGGAGGAGGAGGACGGGGAGGAGGTCGGATTTCTGGGCTAACGCCACATACTTGGACCTGTGCTTGTTCATACGGAGCTGTTCCGTGGCCACGGCTAGAACCTAAGCGCGCGCGAAGCGCACGCGTGGTTCTAGTTTGTATGTATGTATGTATGTATGTATGTATGTATGTATGTATGTATGTATGTATGTATGTATGTGTATATATATATATATATAGATATATCTAGAATTACAAATAACATTTGTATCGACACATTTGTATGCGTGTATGAATACAGTTATACAGGGAACAGGCCGGATAAGGAGGAATATAAGGATGAGAAGGAGAACGCGGACAAACGAACGGGAAGACAAGGAGGAAGAACATGAGGAGGAACATGAAGAAGATGATAACGATGAGGAGGAGGAGGAGGAGGAGGAAAACGGTGATGATGCGGACAGTGAGGAAACAACAAGGAGGAGAAGGAGGAACATGAAGAGGAGAAGGCCGTGTCCTTGTCCAAACCTCCCTCCCTCCCGCCTCTACCCTCCACCTCCTCTTCCTCCCTCCTCCCTCCTCCTCCTCCTCCTCCTCTTCTTCCTCCCTCCTTTTCCTGCTCCTCCTCCTGCTCCTCCTCCTCCTCCTCCTCGTCATCCTTGTCCTCTCTTCTTCGGTCCTCGTTCCCTTTTTCTCCCCCGTGCCCCCCCCCGCGCGGGCAGGGGGGGGAGGAAGATGCAGATGGTAAAGGGAGGAGAAGGGCGAGGAGTGGGGGGGGAGGGGAAAAAGGGGACACGAGAGGGGAAAAGGGCGGGGTCGTATGATAAACAACGTGTATACATTCACGTGTATGACGTATGTTCGGATTCAGAATTCCAGATCCTTTCATATTCGTATCCGTATGCGTAGATGCTGCACGGAGGACGACGTCACCGCCGCCGCCGCCCGCGCGAGGAGCCGTTGGGTGCAGGGAGGCGCAGAGGGCCTTCGAGGCAGCCCTGGCGAGCAGCTGAGACGGGCGCCGGGGCTGGCCGCCGCTGGGGCGGCCCCCTTGGCGCACAGGATTGGGCGGATCCGGGAGGAGGGTGGGGGAGGAGGAGTAAGGGCGCCCTCGAGGGCGCGAAGTTATTCGCGCTTCGCGCTTCGGCTCCGATTCCTCCCCATCCTCCTCTTCTCCCCTGGGAGGCGGCGCGAGAGCGCGAAGTTATTCGCACTTCGCGCTTCGCGCAGCGCGAAGCGCGAAGTTGGGAGCCCTTAGGGAGAAGGCGGCAGGGGCGGGTTGCTGGTGGCGCAGGAAAGCAGTGCCCCACCATCGGCACGATCGGGGACGCGATCAGAGAAGTAAGGGGCGAAACGCAATCTTTCCTGATCGCAGGAGGAGGAGGAGGAGGAGGAGGAGGATGAGGAGGCAAAGCAGGAGGAGGAGGAGGACGAGGAGGAGGATCAGTGTAAACCCAAGAGTCATCAACGATGGTGGCATACACCCTCCCTCCTTCTTCATAGACCCCCACAGTGGCCCATTTCCACTGAGGGAACTGCCTTTTTTCGAAGACAACTGTTGGAAAACCTTGAAGCATAGCAAAACATTATGCTCGGGACTCCACAATGCCACGGACCAACCTGACTGTTGCGCCTTGGCGATCTTGAGTCGTGCCAGAACGCCATTCCTGTGATTTCAACACCGCGAATAAACGTGACTGTTGCGCCCTCGTAACATGAGACTCTCCAAAACAGAATGTCTTGTATTTTGACCATGGGACCCGTGGAACTCCTGCAACTTTCAAGAACGGTTGTGCGCGGCGCTGAAGCGAAAACCACATTTTGAGAAGGAGCCGCCCTCAATCCGTGAAGCTCTTACAACTGTTTAAAGCGAGTGTGCGCGGCGCTACAGCGAGAGCCACGTTTTGGAAACGGGCCGCCCTCACTCCGTGAAGCTCGTGCAAATGTTTAACACGAGTGTGCGCTGCGCTGAGGCGAGAGCCACATTTTGAAAACCGACCGCCCTCATTCCGTGAAGCTCTTGCACATGTTTTGAACGATTATGCCAGGCGCTTAGGCGAGAGCCACATTTTGAAAACGACCCGCCCTCCATCTGAGAAACTTTTGCCAATGTTGACGCTACAGTTTTTTTCTTGGTGAGGAAGTCTCAGGCGAAACGCCCGGCCCGCCCTGAAAACTGGCCTCGGGGTGCGACAGTTAGACATTATTTATAAGGAAAAGGAATGGAGCAAAAGGATAATGAAGGGGAGGAGGGGGAGGAGGACGAGGGGGAGGGAGACGAGGAGGAGGAGGAGAAGAAGGAGGAGGAGCAGGAGGAGCAGGAGGAGGGTGACGTTGATGATGATGGTGGTCGTGGTGGTTGTGGTGGGGATAGTGATGGTGATGATGATGGTGATGATGATGCTGATGATGCTGATGATGCTGATGCTGATGCTTAGGACGATGACGACGACGACGACGACGACGCCGCCGCCGCCGCCGCCGCCGCCGCCGCCGCCGACGACGATGATGATGATGATGATGATGATGATGATGATGATGATGATGATGATGATGATGATGATGATGATGATGATGTCTATGATGATGATTCTGGTGATGATGATGAGGAGGAGGAGGATCAGGAGGAGGAGGGTGAGGTGGAAGAGGAGGAGGAGGAGGAGGAGGAGGAAGAGGAGGATTTGTTGGAATATGAAGGGGATGAGCGGGAGGAGGCGGGGGAGGCGGAGGAGGAGGGTCCTTAATCGTGTCAAAACATCAGCCCTGGGACTTCAGTGCCGCGAGACAACGTGACTGGTGCATCCTGACGGCCTTAGACCGCGCCAGGGTACCATTCCCGGGACGTCAACGCCGCAAATCAACGTGACTGGTGCAGCGTGACAATCCTAAGCCGTGTCAGAATGCCATGTGTGAATCATCAGACGGATGTGCGCGGCGCTAAGGTGATGGCCACATTTTGAAAACGGACCGCCCTCAATCCTTGAAACGGTTACAAACTTTGAAAGACGAAAGCGCGCGGCGCTGCGGCGAGGGCCACGTTTTGAAAACCGCCCGCCCTCCATCTTTGAAACGGTTGCAGACTTTCAATGCGAACTTGCGTGGCGCCGAGGCGAGAGCCACATGTTGAAACTGACCCGCCCTCCGTCCGCCAAGCTGCTGCAGCATTTTCAAACGAATGTGCGCGGTGCTTAAGCGATAGTCACATTTTTAAAACGACTCGCCCTCCATCCATGAAGCAATTGCGAATGTCATGTCTCCGGATCATGAAAGGTGAGGCCGTCTCAGGCGAAACGCCTGGCCCGCCCCACCGACACGTATGGGATGTGACATTGGGGGTTAGCTAAAAGGACAGATCATGGAGGAGGAGGGGGATGATGAGGAGGAGGAGGAGGATGAGGATGATGAGGAGGAGCAGGAGGAGGAGGAGGAGGAGGAGGAGGAGGAGGAGGAGGAGTAGGAGGAGGAGGAGGAGGAGGGGAATTGAGAGAGAGGAGGAGGAGGAGAAGGAGGATGAGGCGGGGGCGGGGGAGGCGGAGAGAAGCGACCAGGATAATGAAGAGAAGAGTTATGATGATGAAGTTGATGATGATGGCTGATGATGATGATGACACTGGCGATGACGACGAGACCTAAGAGATGATGGTGATGCTGGTGATGGTGATGGTGATGATGCTGCTGATGATGATGCTGATCATGCCGATGATGATCATGCTCATGATGATGATGAGGAGGAATCTGAGTTTGAGGTTGAGGAACATGACGATGACGCTGATGCTGCTGCTGCTGATGATACTGATGATGATGATGTTGATGATGGTGATGATGATGATGCTGCTGATGCTGATGATGATGATGATGATGATGATGATGATGATGATGATGATGATGATGTTGCTGCTGCTGCTGATGATGATGATGGTGGTGATGATGATGATGGTTCCCCAAATAGTCTTGCCCTATGAGAGTTCTAACTCAAACCCTACTACTTAGTCCACCGCCCCCCCTGATTCCTCTGTCGCCCCCTAATTCCCATGGCTATGTCTATGCCTATGCCTCCCCCTAACTCCCATGTCTACGCCTACGCCTATGCCCATTCCTACGCCTATGCCTATGCCTATGCACCACCTCTGAGCGCTCCTATGCCTATGCCTATGCCTATGTCCATGCACCACCTTTGAGCGCTCCTCCACCTCTTTGCACCATCGCCAGCACCATCAGCATCACTATCGTCATCATCGCATCCGCAGCCTTTCCGCATCCGCAGCCTTCCGCTTCATCCGCATCCGCATTTTGAGTGTGCGCGTGTGGAAAACAGGAGTCAACGCTTGCTGATATGATGATGGATGATGGCGATCCTCCAAACAGGCTTGCCCTATAAGAGTTCTAACTCAAACCCTACTGATTGGTTTGTTGCCCCCCCTAATTCCTATGCCCCCCCCCAATTCCTACGGCTATGCCTGTGCCTATGCTTCCCCTCTAACTCCTATGCCAACGCCTATGCCTATGCCTAGTGGTCTTTAGCACCCCCTTTCTTGTTTCCAATGCCCCCCCCTTCTTTCCAATGGCACCCCCCTCCCCCCGCCCTTTTGCAACTGACACCCACCTTATTTCCAAGACACCCCCAGCTATTTCCAATGGGGAGTTCTACGGATTCCTATGGATTCCTATGGGTCGCGTGCCCTTGCTTGCTCTTGCGTGCGCTTGCTTGCTTGCTCTTGCGTGCTTGCTATCGCTTGTTTGCTCTTGCTTGCCCTTGCTTGCTTGCACTTGATCGTTGACTCTTGCTTGCTTGTTATGGCTCGCTTGCGCTTACTTGCTTCCGATTGCTTGCTTGCGCTTGCTTGACTTTGCTCCTTCCGTCCTCCTCCCGTCCTCCTCCCGTCATGCTCCCGTCCTCCTTTCGCCCTCCTCCCATCTCCCTCTCGTCCTCCTCCTGTCCTCCTATCTGTTTGGAGTCAGCGCTGGCTGATATTATGATGGTGATGACGAAGGCTACGCTGATGATGGTGATGCTGAAGATGCGGGCGATGATGATGCTGATAATGCTGATGATGCTGCTGCTGATGGTGATGATGCTGAGGTGGACGATGATACTGTGATGATGAGTCTAACGGCGATTGTGATGATGATGACGATGATGAGGAGGCTGATGCTGATGATGAGGATGATGATGTTGATGCTGCTGATGCTGCTGATGCTGATGATGATGCCGATGATGAAGATGCTCATGCTGCTGATGATGATACTGCAGATAATGATGATGCTGCCGATGTTCATGATGCTGCTGCTGATGCTGATGCTGATGCTGAGGCTGTCGCTTCTGATGATGCTGATGATGCTGATGATGACGATACTGCTGGTGCTGATGATGATGCTGCTGCTGCTTATGATGATGATGATGATGATGATGATGATGATGATGATGATGATGATGAGAATGATGCTTCTGCTGAGGCTGATGATGCTGGTGCTGCTGATGCTGATGCTGATGATGATGCTGATGCTGATGATGACGATGATGATGACGATGCTGATGGCGATGCTGATGGCGATGGTGATGATGATGATGATGATGATGATGATGATGATGATGATGATGTTGCTGACGATAATGATGCGTCTGACGAGGGCGCTGATGTTGAAGATGCTGATGCTAATGATGATGATGATCGAGAGGAACCTGACTGTTATGATGCTATCGATGATGACGATGGTGATGAAGAAGCTGATGATGATGATGATGCTGATGCTGATGATGCTGATGATGATGATGATGATGGTGATGATGCTGATGATGATGATGCTGCTGCTGCTGATGATGATGACGATGGCAATTATGCTACTGATGCTGATGCTGATGGTGATGACGACGATGCTGCTGCTAGTGATGATGGTGATGATGACGATTACGATGATGATTGTGAGGATAGGGAATACGATGATGATGATGATGATGCTGATGATGATGATGATGCTGATGATGATGATGATGATGCTGATGATGATGATGACGATGATGATGATGATGATGATGGTGCTGATGACGATGATGATGACGATGC